CCTTAAGGTACAAATTAGACAAATTTATATATATAAGGTAGTAATATGAGGATAAATTTTTTATATCATCTTTTTATATAGGTTTTATATATTATTAAATGAGTTAATGTATTTAATATTATAAATTTTAAATGAATAAAAAAATCAATTATTTAAATAACACATAAAATTATACAAAAACTTAATAAAAAAAAGTTACATCTAAATCATTATATATATATTAAACATGTAATTAAAAACTTAAATAATCCTGTCATGTGTACTAGATGATAACTAATTAATTTTAAAATATGGAGTTATTGGTGGCAACTATTTAAAGTCTTGGAGTTTTGGGCAGCAGCTTTCTCGAGCTTTAAAAAAATGGTTTGTTTAACCTGGCTATAGAATTAAGTATATATTAAATATATTTTTATTATAAATTTATATTAAAATTAAAATTAATATTTATATTATTTTATTTATAATAAAAAATACTGTTATCATGCAATCTAATAATACAAATTAAAAATATCCTTTGAAAAAGAGATGCTAAGATTCGCACGCAACATTTTTATATGAGAATTTCAACCTCAAGAAAGCCCACAATGCCCAAATCTTGGCTTAAAAATAAATTTGAAATAAGAAGCCGAGTGACCGAGTCCCACTCCTTGATTCTTCGGTTTGTGTTTTCTGCCAGATTTTCTCAGCGTTTTTCAGGTAAGTACACCCACATTTTCTCTCTACTTTCTAGCTGCTTTTAACTTATGTTTCTTAGTTCTTGTTAGCCCTTAATTTCTTTACTCGGATTTGCTTGTTCTACAATTTGATTTTTCATATGTTTTTGCACTTTTGGGTACCCTTTATTGATGTCTTGATCATGGGTTTTATGTTTTCTTTCCCTTCATTGTTTCCTGGTTGCTTCTCTGTTTGGTTGCCGTGAAAATATAGGAATCCTTTGCCTTTCTGTTTTCCGGGTGAGTGAGTTTTGCAAAGAACTGCAAAACCCCATTTTAACTGAGTCAATTAGTAATAGATGAGAAATTTTGGATCGAACCTTTCACTTGCTTTTGTCAGACATTTTCCCTGCAAAATTATAGGCTATAACCTGGAACATATCTACTGCCTGCAGACAAATAGACAACATGAACCAGTGCCAATCAAGCAATGTCCCCATTGATCAGGAAGTTGTCTGTCCTGAGGCAGTGGATAGAATTAGAGGGATAATCTCAACTCTTCCCATTGAGAATGGCTGGAGATTTATAGAGCCTTTGTGCTTATACCAAGGCTTTTGGTGCCATCCCTCCTTGACAGAACGTATCATGTTAGGCGAAGAATTCTTCAAAGCTGAACCAAATGATATATTCGTGTGCAGCCCTCCAAAGAGTGGCACTACTTGGATTAAAGCCTTAACTTTTGCCATTGTCACTCGAACTTGTTTCGATGGTTCAACAAGTCCTTTGCTCCTTAAGATGCCCCATGAATGTGTTCCTGCTTTGCATAGGATTTTTGGCAAGAAGCCAGACATACGCGAGCCAGGGCTCCCACTAATCGCAACACACAGTCCATATGCTTCCTTGCCAAAATCCGTTCTAAATTCTGATTGCAAGATTGTTTATATTTGTAGAGACCCAAAGGATGCATTCATCTCCTTGTTTCACTTTAAAGCCAAGCTGAGACCTCAGGAAATTGAACCAATTTCTTTGGAGGCGGCTTTTGATCTATATTGTGAAGGGAAGTCTGACTTTGGACCCTTTTGGGACCATATTTTGGGGTATTGGAGGACTAGTTTGGAAAGGCCAGGGAAGATATTGTTTCTAAAATACGAAGACATGATGAAGGATACAACATTCTATGTCAAGAAATTGTCAGAATTCATGGGATACCCTTTTTCCTTAGAGGAAGAAAAAGAAGGGGTGGTGCAAAAAATTGTAGAGCTTTGCAGTTTTGAGTTTATGAGCAATTTAGAGGTAAACAAAAATGGAATGTTATTTGGAATTCGAAACCATCAGGTTCGAAACAAAAACTTTTTCCGGAAGGGGAAGGTTGGGGATTGGAGGAATCATTTGACACCTGAGATGGCAGAACGCCTTGACAAGATAATTGAGCAAAAACTAGCTGCTTCTGGTTTTGGAAGAGACTGGTTGAATGTGAAACCAGTTCTGGAAGAGCAGCAAGTTTGAATTAGGATGATATCTGAAGCTTTCTGTGCTTTTCTATAATTTGTAATTTTTTTTTTTTTTAACATTTGATTATGGAAGAAACAACATTTATCAATCCACAAATAATTTCTCACATTTCATAAATTTCTTCCCCTCTGTCTCAAAATTACATTTTTCTATCCTCTTCATTGCACAGCTATCCAATCAATCTTATCAA